TGAATACCACCCCAGCACTTCATGCCATCTACTCCTGGCTCCCATGCTTCATAGGTTTCTCTTTCAGAAGTAGGCAACAAGTCTCTCGACTGGATGAGTAGCTCTGATGGATGCAGCCCACTCGCATCTAACAGCTTTCCAAAGAGCTCTCCGGTCCTTCCCTCCTCCTTTTGCCCAAATGTACCTTTACTGTCATGTCAGTATTGCCTTTTGGATATCTGGTAGGGAAGGGGCCAGGCAGGACAGGATGTATCTACGCAAGCTGGGGACCAAATGTCGGTTGTTGCCACAAGGTTTATCAATGTAATTTGCTGCTTGCTCTCTGCTTATGTTTGAGGAGCTCTTGAAAAGAGGGTGACTGGAAGGAGGCTGCAAACAACATAAAATCATCCTGGAGAGCCCTTCAGGGCTGCTCTAACCTGTGTATTGTTGGTCAGAAATCCTTGTTTTTATACAAGGATACTTCATGCAAGTTTATGCAAAATAATTCCTTTTCTGGCAGTGATTGCTCATTGCACCATTTGCTACACTATTGCCTGTTGTGTGATTTTTTTTTTTCCTCATATTTGTCCCTTTTTCTGTTTTTTTTTTTTTGACTTTTTTTTTCTTGTTTCAGTTGATATTTGTCTCTATTTTAGGTCTAATGTGTATCTCTTTTTTTTTTTTCCCACCCTAATGTTTTCAGTTTTTATAGCTCTTTTCTGTTACATCAAAAGTCAACAGTTTGATTAAGTTCCAACTGTTGTAGCATATGTAGTCTGGCTTCATTATCTCCTGTTGCCTAAAACTGTAATCTCTCTAAAAAATTTATCAACGAGCATGCCAAACGCACATGAGGGGCTGAACAGAGTTGCATGGTTACGTACTGGTCTGTGTGCGTTAGTTGGATTTTCATACTTTGAAAATACTTTGCATGCTTTTAGGGATTAGTAGATGCAATTTGTGTGATTAGGTGTGGATGCACACAGGTCAGGGTGTCTGTACGTGAGCTTGTCACCCTGGGCTCCCCACACAGTCAGTGGAGATCTAGTTAGGGTAATGACTAGAGATGTTAAGTGGAAGTCATCTCATCTTACCGTGGATGCCTGTGCTGGTCAGATGAATTACACTGTCAGCTCCACTGAATATATTGTCTGTATTGAGTATAAAGGGAGTGACTCGCATGAGTGACGAGTTGGGCCATACATCTAGTTAGGTGAGAGGAATCTTATCCAAAAATTTTTCTGGAGCATGCAAAATTTTAGTTAAAACTTTCTGTAGATCATGTGCCGGCCCCAGATGATGTAGGAGGTAGTCCTTATCTGACTTCCTCGTTCATCGTCTTCCTTTTAATTTTAATGGCTTCTGTATCTACTCCTGGCGCGTTGCCTCAGGTCTTGTACATGAGTCTTGCGTTCAGGTGCTTGTCTTCATTTTTCTGTGAATTGTATCATATGGTTCTGGATTGAAAAAGTAAGTACTATACTAGATAGGCAGGAGTGGACCTTTATTGCCCAAGGATGTAGCATGTCCTTCACAGCTTCTTTTCATAAAAAGAGATAGAAAAAAAAAATCAGCAGGTGGATCAGCTGTGCCTGATCAGTATTCATGCTGCTTTGTCCATCTAGGAAGATTCTTACTTGGAGAAGTTAGCAAAAAAAGCTGAAAGATTTCTTTGGCAGATAACATTCCCTCTCTCCCACCCTTGGGCTGTAAAGTATTGCCCCTTTAGGATGATGCCAAAAACGAGTGCTTAAAGGGGAAGAATAGTTTAAAAAAAAAAAAAAATTAATTGCAGACATGGGCGAGATCTAATATTTTCACATGGCAAAACTGGTTTGAGAGGTTCCTGCCACTGTGCTTCTAGTTTCCATGGCTTTGCTCCTGTTGATGTTACAGTTTTGGGGCAGGATTGCAAAAATCAAATAGTTGTTAAAAACAAAACAAAAACAAAAAACACTTCCTCCAAATCTTCTCCACCCCTTTTATTTTTGGAACCCATTGGCACATCCAGAAACAGTTGCACTGGTGTAGCTGAAGAAGCGGTATATTGCAAGGAGGGGACCGGCACAAGGCTGAGTGTGAACAGCAGTCTCTTAGGCCAGCCTGGCTTCTACAGGGAATGTTGTACATGCAACTTGACAGCGCACAGCGCACAAGGATCGACTGTGAACTAGCTACAAACTCTCAGAAAAAACACCTGAGGTTTCCCAAGCTCAGAAAAGAATATTGTAGACTTCAGAAAACGTTAAAACACGTGACAAGAATGAGCAAAGATGAAGATAGGGAAGCGTTTCTGTGCAAGCCACAGTGGTAGAGAGTAGGGTCCTGCAGCCTGAAAAGAGGTGTGACCGGCGGAGAATGTGATGGACGCGTGGAGAAGGTAAATAGGGATTGAGGTTCATTTTCTCCTCTGCCATAAGAATTAGGTGGCATCAAATACAACTAGCGGTTGGCATGTGTGAAACGTAGCAGTTACTCTTTTTTTGCAGTGCATAATTAACCTGTGAGAGACACTGCTGCAAGGGAGGGTAGACTGTAAAAATTTCTGGGTTGAGATAGGCAAATTCGTGCAACAAAAAGACACTAAGGTCTGTTGAACCCTAACCACAGCCCAGGAAGTCCCTGAGCTGCAAATGCCAGGTCTGGGAGAGTAACTGGGAAGCGTCAGTATTTGCTGTCCTGTTCTCATGCTCTTTCTTACCCGAAGGAGCCCTGCTGGGCCAGGGGAGCCTCCAGGCTGACCCAGCGCCCCGGCTGCTTTCTTCGGTGATCAGTTAGCTGCTGGCAGTGGTATGTTGCTCTGATATCTACACTCCTGTAGCTGTTCAAACAAATACTTTAAGGTAGTAGTAAACTAGCAGTCTGGTCCTTAAACTCTGTCAATATTTGATATAGTAAATATTTTTTACGTTTGGCCTCATTTTTGGTTTTATGTGCTGCGGAGAATCCCGCTGGGAAGGATCGATAGTTGCAGGAAAAAGTCTGAATTCATGGCGAAATAACAGAGAAGCGTTCTAGACAAGCGGTTTTGTGCCGCTGCTTCATGTTTTCCCAACTTGTATTAAGACTAATTTGAGGCCAAGACTTCCTTTTTAATTTATCATAAGTAGCAGGTGGACGTAACTGTAATACTTCTTCTCCTACTGTTGCATGCATGTTTGTGTGTAGACAAAACCTCCGAAAGCTTAGCGTCGTAGTGATTTAAACGTGTAGAGATTCCCACTGGTTGTTGAGTAACGCGGTGGTACTGGGAGTCTCAGCCTGTCTTGGGTTACGAATGAGCGTGGTGATCCCCAGTGGGATCCAGCACCGAGCGCTTTGGCTCGTTTCACCGAGGCCGTCGTCTCTAGTACGTACACCGTTGTCTTCTTGCTCCCTCCCTTTTCCCGTACGCTTGCTATGGTTGCACTGGCAGCCAGGGGAATTTGCCCTGGGATAAGCTAGAAGTTGCAGGTGAATTTTTCAGCATCCTGTCCTTACAGCTTGCAGTTTAGATAGATGCAAAATTACTCTTAAGAGACGGAGTTGTTTGGATTCGCTCCTCCTTACTTGTTCCTTTTCGGCAAGGCTGAGAAATCGGTTGAGGGCAAGTTAGGATTTTTTTTTTTTAAGTAACTTTTATAGAAATCCATCGCAAACGTGAACTCTCCGAAATAAGTCTATTTGCAAAGTACGCTCAAAAAGTATAATCAGGCTTCTGTTAATGAGTGCTGTCACGTATCTGGAACAGTGTAGGGGCCCCCCCCCCCCATAAAATAAATAAAACATAGTACTTGGTTTCATTGAATACATAGTGTGGATGACGTTCTGTGTTTATATGCATGAGGAAGACTGAATAGAGAGCTTAAATAACACAGTGTTTTAGTGATGTGAAAAGAAGCCATCCTTGTCTTCCTTAAGAAGCATAAAGCAGGCTGAAAAAGGACCTCACCCTCCCTCTTTTTGCTTTTCCGGAACAGGTTTTAAGCATTTCCATAGCTGATTTGTTTGCTTTGTCCTCATTGCCTCATTTTACCTACGTCAGGTGTTTTAAAAGCCCCCGGTCTCCGCAGCCCTGACGAAGCTGTCTGGTCCGAAGCGGGGGGTAAAGTGCCTGCGCGGGAAGCAGCGGCGCTTTGCCACTGCGTGTCCGTGCGTCCCTTCAGCTGACGTATGCCTGCCCTTCACTCCTTCCGCCTCTCTCACTGCTCTTTCGTGAGGACGGATGCGATCCATTCGGTGCCTTTTCTCATCAAGCCGCTGAAGCACGTTCTCTGTCCCCAGAGATTAATGTATGCCAGATGACAAACCTTCTCGACACCTGCACGCTTTCTGTCCTCCTCCCCCGTACTATTCAGAATAATGACAGGCAATGCGCTACACGTGTGTATCGGTGATTATAAAAATACCTCCTGGCTGCTTACCGTCCTGAGTGCAGTGGGAAACTGTGACTCAGCTTCATGTACTAGGATTCAGGTGGCTTATTGCTTCTCAGCCGCTGTAAGAATGACCAAACTTTGTATTAGTTACAAAATACTCCTCGTTGCGTTCTGTCTTCTTGAGCTGTGTGGTGTTTCTGAATGATTGACGTACTATTTTGACCTATATAAATATTGAGATGTTTGCTATGCAATGGAAATTCAGCTCTTATCCCAAAGAGTGTTGCTACCTGTCAGTTTTCTGGGAATATATGTTAGTAATTCTGTAAGGAATCACGCTTTTTTCTTTTTTTCCTAACACAATTGTGAAACTGAATAAATACTACAAGTAGAGTTTTGAGAGATTAGAAGAATTTGCCTTTGAACCTCGGTTTATACGATTATAATAGCAGAATACAATGCGTATAATTCTGTTCTCTAGCAATATTTGTTCTGTCTCCACCCTGAGAGAAGGTGTGTAGATATCTGAATTTGTACACACATATAATTTTGCAAAATAAATTTTCAGTTATAAAATTAAATTCTGAAAAGAATAAGTCATTTGCCTTTAATAAAACACTTTTTAAGAGTGTCTGATAAGTATTCTTTTTTTCTTGACAGTCTGTGGTGGACGACTGGATTGAATCATATAAGCAAGACAGGGACATAGCACTTCTGGATTTAATCAACTTCTTTATCCAGTGTTCAGGATGTCGAGGTACAGAATGTTGGAAACAAGTTGTATAGAATAAATCTGACGGTCATGCAAACGTGTATTACTGCAAATGCTGGTAAAGATGTGGGAGGCACATGGATTGGTACTCCTCGTATGCATGGTTTATATAGAAATATTGTCTACGTTCTGGAATAATTTTATTTAAAGCTTGTTTGTCAAGGGCATACCTTCTCTTTTCCTCACTTTCCTGTCGTCACCCTAAAGCATGCAAATCCTTGCAGAGGTACTCTACTCATCAGCGAAAGGAGACAAAAGATATATTAATCAAGGTAGGCATATCTTCCCCTTTTTCTTCCTTCCCGATTCTTTTTTATTACAAGAGGTAATAGGTGTAGCTATACTTTAACTTTGCTGTTTTTTCTTCCTCTGTAGGAAAATGAGGTTTTGTAAACTGAAGAGGAAGGATTCAAGCTTCAGTTGCCTTCAGATTAGTAAGAAAGAAGATTTCTTTTGGATGAAGCAGCAATCTTCTTTCTTTCTCTCTGATACTGTATCAAGTCAGCAGCAAGTGGCCAGCCTTTTTCTACCCTATTTTAGCAGTCTCTCATTACCACGCATGGGGCAGTCTTTCTAGCGTTCTGTTTTAATGAATTTTTCACATGTCTTTTTTCTGTTTTTTAACTCAATGTTGAAAATAAAAAAAGACAGAGCTCTGCTCTGCCTTTTTTGCCCTGCACTGAGCTATTTATTGTTTTCTGATGCTTCCTATAACTTGCCCTGAGTAGGATCAAAAATAACCCACAATTCAGAAATGCTTTTCTTCATTTTATAACTGACATGGGAATATACCTTTAGACCATCAAATGATCTCAGTAGAAGTTCCTTTTCTTTCTTCTTAAGTGTGAGAAGTCCTGAGTTCAGTTAAAAGTGTCAGAGGAAAAGAAATATGAGCCCTCAGCCCCTTCAGCAAACCTTTGTTGTAGCAAAAGGTAAAAAACCTTATTTTATGGATGATGGGAAAGCCTGAAGCTGTGGAAGCATTCTGTGAAGGGGCCAAGGCTTCGGATTTAGATAACCCCCTACGTCAATGTCTATACTGTTCACACAGGTTCCCTAAACTATTTTTCAGACCTGTTTGGCACCTTATGTGAAAGTAGTTCTATTCTGTTTGCTTTTTTAAGCACTCTCCTAAAATTGTACGTAATAAAATCTTCTTTTTAAGAATTTGGACTGTATTAAACCAAAGGGATCCGTGGACATACGTTTATATTCTTGGCAATGCGGGTTTTTGGTGGGGGCATGTCATAAATGCATCTTTTTCCCTACTGCTCTCTGCTAATTTCTACTTCCTTTTCTTTGTGCTTGTTGGAGAAAGCAGCGCTCTTGCAATCTCCAAAGATTCGTATTTTGTTTAAACCTCTTGTCAATGACTGATACAGGCTGAATGCCCACTGCCAACCACATGCTGCTGGAGGGAGCGTTTGCTTCCCAGGAAGACTTTCCATTACTGGCTGGGAAGCAGCAGTGCTTCAAGTGGCTGATGTCATTTACTTTATTTTTTCTCATGGTGACTTTTCAGTACTCTGCTTGTACCCACAGCAATATCTTTTTGCTGAGCTTGCTTTAGTGACCTGCAGCTCCCAAACAGCGGTGGTAGAAAAAGAACGTAAAAATGGCATTTTCCCCGGAGCTCGTAGTGTATCTTGGGGGTTTATCTGTGTTGTTGAATTTTTGCGGTAGGGGTAGTAACAGTTCTTCTCTTTCCCGTTTCCAGTAACATGCCTGTTTTCTAGAAGAAGTAAAATCCTTTTCAGGAGAGAGTAAACTTCAGTGGTAGTCCACTTAGTGCTCATGATGCATTTTACCCTATCCTTAGTGAAAATGAGGTAGGAAAATCTGGGGATCTTACATATTTTGTGAGGACAAGACCAAAGCTGCTTTTTCATGGGAAGAATATATGATCTATTTTATGGCAGTTTTCTTTCCCTTAAAAGATGTTGTTGATGTTCTTGTTTGTTTCCATTTTGGATAAATAACAGCTCGTCATGACATGATCTTCCTTAGAATTCTTATTTCCTGTTTGCTCCACTATAATTGACGTTGAATTCTTCAGCCTTCTTTCACAGTGTTGGAACTAACTCTTTACCACGAAGATATCTTACTTTGTGATCATTAGCTTGGGGAATGAAGGGAGAGAGAACAACAACCAGTTATGAGGAGGTTCTTCGGGGAGCTTTGAAAGTCACACTAGGCTTAATAAATCTACTGTTTTAATACTGTTTACAAGTATTTAATATCTAAACATATATAAAATGCACTTGGTTTGCCGTTTCTTTCAACAGATGAAGAGCGTGTGCCTGTTTTCCATCCTCAGTTAGAAACCATTTAGGAACCAAACTTAATAGTTTTATTTAGCTATAGTATTGATCTTAAGAACAATCCCTTTCTGTTTAGAGAAACATTTGATTTTTATGTATTCATCGCATTCTCTTGGGCAGCACATACGCTTGAATGAAGCTCTTAGCATCCTCCAGTTGCGCACAGAGATTTCACTGAACGGAATAGTGATCTCTTGTAAATATGAATAAGCAGGCATGTTATATAAATTATTAATACTAAAAATTGTAAAATTAATGTATTTCTCAGGCTAACTTACAAGATCTGTGAGATTAAAACTGAATAAATGCTAACCAAATATTGAAGTATCTGTCTGTCTTTTGTCAACTCTTTTGAACAGCTGTTTAATCAGTTACTTTTTTTTATAATATATTCTGGTTCATACAGTAATATCTATTAGAACATGGTAGTTTTATTTTTAGACTGACTTTGATAAGCTTTCTAGGTTTTCTAACGATCATGCGGTATAAATGCAAAGTTTGTCCTACCTGAGCTACCGAAAGCATCTCAGTTCAAGAATTGAATTTGCGCTGGGATAAAATCACCTTTTACACCATCTTTCTACTAGTTTGCCTGCTCGTTCTGTCCACGTTTCTCTTTGCTGATTTTGAATGCAAAGATGTGAGAGTAGTTTCTTAAAGAGATTTGCCTTTATCTTGCTATATTTTTTTTCCTAACAGCAGCAGGAAAAATCTGTCTGGCACAGTTTGTCTGTGTAGTCTTTCTCCGTGATGTTAGATGGAGATGGCCGGAAAATGGCTAACAAGCACTGATAAGTTCAGCTTATGTTTGTTTCCTGCCCTTTTAAAAAGCATCGCTTCTTCTAAAAGGAGGCTCTTGTATTAGATGGCACCTTAGAAAGCTGAAAGACTTGGAGACCAGCAGTAGAATAACTCTTCTTGGAAAAAAGAGCACCTAAGTGCTGTTTTCAGTCCTCGAAAAAACAAGGCTTGTTAGTAATAGTTGTTCATATTCCACTGTCTTCACAGTCCGTAAAGCAGGTGGTGTATTTGCCTCCTTACTTATCTGGGGCGAAGGGGGGAGTTTTACCGCTCTCATCCGTTGCTTCCTTTGCAAAGGCAGTACGTTAGCGCAAGCTGACTGCGAGCCAGCCGAAGCGGCTCCTTAGCTCTGCCTCTCCGCCCGAGTCGTTAGCGCAGGTACCCTACGCCGCTGCTATGACAACCAGCGTGGTGGCATCGCCGGAGCTGCGGTGGCTGGAGAGCTGCCTTGATATCTGCGTCCCTGGCTCCTTTTGCCTTCTGTTGGTAATGGGCAGCACAGGGGAAACGCCAGGAGCGCTCAGGCCTGCTCGGCTTCCCCAGGCTGAGCACCACGCTTGCTAGAATAAACATATATATGTTTTTTTCCTCACCAGAAGCAGTTAGTGGTTGGGGAGGTCTCCCGAGCTGTGAAAGACAAATCAACCCAAGCTTGCTTTCGTAGAAGGAAAAGCTCTGCTGCATAGTTAAAGAGGGAGAACTGCATGAATATTTTAAACGTACAGTGAAGATATTCCTGGTCTCTCCCCCATCTCTCCCCTTTCCTCTCCTTTCTTTTCTGATAGGCCAGAAAGCCTTAAATTTGTCAGTTTTTTTGAAAAGTGGTTTGAGCTCTGCATCCGCTGCTGGTTTCGCTCTGTATTAGACAGCTTTAAGACACTGGTTGTTGAAGAAGCAAAACTGGTGAAGCTGCCTCTCTGGTAAATTCTTGGCATCGTCCTCGCTCTTCTGAGGCTTGCAAGGGTCTCCCCATTTGAGCAGTTTTGTGGTTTGGTGCATGAAAGGTTGCTTTGAGGAGGAGGAGGAGTGTTGGTCAAGGAAGCGGGTGGATTTCCTGTGCGTGAGGTTTCTCCCGTCTCGTTTTCCCCCTCAAACTCTTCTCTTCAGCTCTTGAGCTGTGGCTCTTGTTGGGTGACATCACACGTTAATGGACAAACTTTCCAAGGGCCACGTGCGCCCCGCCACTTGCTAGTGCGGGTTGGCTTATTTTAATTGTGTGTAAGCCAGAATCTGTGTGTGAAGTTTTTTGTGCAATGCTTAAAGCAGGCTTCTTTGTGGACCTTTTCTTCATGAATCAGGCACTTAGGGGTTCACCTTCTCGTCTGCCTTGAGCCTTGACCGCCCAGCTCATAAGATCTTCTGCCAATTCTGCGGCTGAACAGTCACAAATTGAATCAACAAGTGCAGGACTTATGAGCTAGCTTGCTCCAAGATGCTTGCTCCATTTTGATTTTTATTAATGACCTATCCTCGTAATTAAGGGCAGGGAACAAGCTAATACGGTTCTGTTTTACCAAGCGCTCTCGAGCAGCCGTTCCATGGTCTGGCAAAAGACAGGAACGAAACAGCCGCTTTCTTTGCCGTTGGACAGGATTTCAGAATGCTCATTAGCCAGGAAATAGTATTATTTACTTTGAAAAATGTTTTAACGGTTTAATAACTTTGTAAATAAAATAATATTTTGGTTTCAAAAATTAGTCTTTTGCTAGTTAGTTATTTGCACACAATTTTGTTTTGTGATAGATGGAATAATATGCTTGATAAACATAAACATAATTTCCTACAAATGGTCCTTTCATGAGGAGCTGCAAATTTTTAGTGAGAAATGCTGCTGGCTTTGACATATGTTAAAAAGCTTTATTT